CGGGGAACAGCCGGCCACAGGATCGGACAGCGGAACGCGCCGGGCGAGCGGTCCCGGGCTGGCCCCGGGGGCCAGCCACCACACGCCCGTCTTGCGCTGGCATTTTGGCGGGGCCAGGCCCAGCTCCTCCAAGCAAGGGCGCCCCTCCATTCACCCCCCCCCAGTGAGCTCAGCGTTGCAGTGACCGCCTGAGGTCTCAGGGCAGCGGCGGGGAGCGGCGGGCGGCCCTTGCCTCCAGGGGAAGGTAGGTGTGCTTCTGCTCCTGGCCCACTTGCAGACACGGGAGGTGGGGGTAGCGCAGGACCAGCTTGTGCCTGTCCTTGAAGTACTGGGCCACCGTGCACTCCACCGTCTGCCCGCTCTCTTGCTGCAGCGGGAACCTGGGGACGCAACGAGGCGACTCAGCCCGAGGACGGGCAGTCGCCCAGGGCTGCTCTCCGGGGAGAGGGGCTCACCCCGTCGCCCCCCGAAGCCAGCGCCAAAGCCTGCCTCTGGGGGACCCTGGATGCCCCAGCGGTCCTACCTCCCCTCTGCCGTTGGGAAATAAAAACCCCTAGTGCACAAATACCACCCAGTCCCAGCACAGGGCACGGACACCTCCCTCTTGGGCACCTCCAGCGCCCAGTGGCAGGCTGGCCACCTTCCACGGACCAGAGCAGGGAGAAACGAGGGCCCAGGAGTGCTTGGGGAGCCCACCCATCCTCCCCAGAGGAACACACAAGCCGAGACAGCCCCTGTGCCGGGCTGGGGCCACTGGGCCAGTCGCCACGCCTAGGGCCACCGCTGCCCTGCAGCCGTCTGGGCAGGGCCGAGCCCCGCCCCAGTCCCGGGGAGCCCGCCCAGCACGGAGGTGTGGAAGGGAACCAGAGACCCTCCTCTGTCCCTAAAAACCCCGAGGAGGAAAGACAGGGAGCGCCCCCCCCACGGGGCGCGTCCAGCGCTCCCCGGTCAGGCGCAGCCTGGGCCTCGGTGCCTGTGTGTCCGGGGCCCTGAGCCTAGCGGGCGGGCGGGCGGCGGGTGGCTCACGTCTGGTGGCTGGCGGGCCGCCGGGTCACGTTGCACACGCGGTACTTCCTCTTCATCTGCCCGCAGTGCGTGATCTCCACCTTCAGACCTGCGCACACGGCGGTCAGCCACCGCCCACAGCCCCGTCCGGGCCCGGGAGCGCTGGGTCCCCACCAGAGGGAGGGCAAGCCGGCCACCCCAGGGAGGCCTTCCCCG